CATTCCTGATCTCAAGTCCTTTTAAAGCAGCCAGATGAGAATCAAATCCGTGGAGTGACTCCCACCACACGTACCTAACTGCCTCACCAAACACAGCCAGCTGCTCTCCCAGGTCCTTACGCAGTCCATGCACACACTCACAGGGACTTCAGCTGCAGTTCAGACTTGGGTTAGCAGTCTGATTGGCAGTGGTTTTTTCCATTGGGATTGGAGGGAAAGCTGTACAGCATTTGCAGACATCACACAGCCCTTAATTTCTAGGATTTATTTATGTGACATATTAGAATACTAATTTACATATCTTGGAAAATATGAGGCTGAGTACAGCTTCTGCTGATGTTGTTTGCAAAGTCACCATCAACATAACATCAGAAAGCACAGGTATTTGAAATGTTCAAATACAATATATTTAGTATAAAACAACTCTTTAAATATTATATTCTTCTGTTCAATTCAGCAGTGGAGGGAAAAAAAAAAAGAGAAAAGGAAGCTGTGGAACCAGCCTATCTGGCTTACTGAGCCTTTGACAGTGAAAATGTTTGTTCTGTCTGCTCTGGTTCGTAACCGAATTAAAAAATAAGGTACCTATTCCACACCCTTAATTGATTGTGCACGGTTTAGAGCCTGGCCCACCTACAGGTCAGAGGAATGCCTTTTGCAGACAAGAGACAACAATAATCTCTCAGATTTGCCTAATTTCATATTTGAAAAGCTTTCATTCTAAATAAACGTGCCTTCTGCATGAGGTTGGGTGAATGGACTCTACAGTTACCAGAAAATGGCAGCCAGAGAGGAAGCATCCATGCTGAGGGGCAGCACATGAAAATCTGCCAACAACTGCAAGGGTGCACAGACCGGTGGCCCCGCTGAGACCCCAGGAACCCACGCGTTCAGAGGAGCGGGACTCGGCCAGACCTGTACAAGGCCATCAGCACCTGCCAGCGCCAACAGCAGGTTGTACAACCCTAACCACACCCACGGGGGCAGTAGCTGTTATATGCATACAAACAGTACATGATTATATGTATGTACACACCTATAGAGACAAGTGAACCCTTGAGAGCCTTTCTGGACACCTTCCCAAAAGCCACTGGTGGGCTGACATGACCACTTACTTCTGGGAGGCCACCGGGTTAGCCTCCAACCCAGTAAAAGTGACTGAGCAAGCACGCGTGTGTGCATGAACTGTGTGAGCAAATGAATGCACTGTGTGAACAGTTTATTAATAGAATGAATCCATTATTAATATAGTAGTTGAATTAGTAAAGGGTGTTGAGATCTGTGTCTCACCCTGACCCAATTCTTTATCAACAAAAAGGGAATGTACAACACCTGTAGATTAAATGAGTAGCAAAAGTTTAGGATCACTATTAAAGAACAAAACAAAAAAAGCAAACCAACCCACACATTTTTGAAGGTTCAAGTAAAGGAGCACTTACAAAAGACAATAATTAACTGTGTGTCAGTTGATTCAGATCCTGTGTGAGCTCTCAAACAATGGTAAACATCAAATGATTCAAGCTGGCCGTCAGTACCCTCTTTGATAGTTAACTTCATAAATGACTTGTTCTTAGGTTTGAACCCTATAGTCCTATAAGAATAAGCTGGCAGAGAATGATCTAAAAATATCAAGGATATAACCAAATACAACCAAAGATGTATTTTTTCTCCTCTTTTAGAAATATTTTCAACATGTATCTCAGGTGACAAATGGAATATGCCATATTTTATTTTTCTTTCTCTTCAGGGACCATACATGTCCCTTACAACATCCTTTCAGGAATTATACTTTTCCTAAGAGTCTTATTCAAGCCAGAAACGCTACGTATTGTCTATTACATTGCAGCACTTATCAACTGCTGGGCCAAAGCAATAAAGAAGCCTTTACAGCTCTGCAGGGTGGTTCATGCTTCCTATGATGGCATTTCATGAAAGTTCTCTTATTTCTACAAACTTGTTCCTTGGATAAGCAGAACGTGTGCGTGTTAAGATGCAACAAAACATCATTTTCACTTCTATGTAATTTCCCAGGTACAAGAAAAGAACAAAACATTTTTTAAAAAATCCTGTCTCAGGATAAAACTGCTTACAGGAAGAGGGAGGATCAGGGCAAAAAAGCAAACTGCACAACTAAAGAGAGCTCCAAGATTTTCTATTCTTTTCTCTTGTTAAATACGCAGGGATGATTCAGAAAATACTGTGATTATAACTTTGTAATGTCTCTCTACTTGTGTTCACTTGACTCAAGGGAAAACAACCAGGAACTAGTACAGCTCCTTGGTGGTGCCTCAAGCATCCATGGAATGTCTTCAAATATTTTTTCTTTAACATCAGTAGCCCTGCCTTAGTAAACATCTTATGAAGCACTTCACAAATATCTTTTCCTTAGAGGAGGAGAAATGGGCAAGTGAGGAGCAACAAAACTTTCTGCTGCATTTGACTGTGACACATTAAGGTTGTCTAGAAATCCACACAAAGCTTATTTCTCCTCTGTGCTGAAACAGAACTAAGCCAATAGTTTCATCTACTGCAAAATCTCAGAGCTTATCTCAAATACTCTGGATGCTCGTTAAGTGAAGTTTTAAATTAATCTGACTTTGTCTCTGTGCGTTCTGATGGGAAAGCCAAAATCAGGCACAATCACTTGGTCAAGACCTGCACTGAATCTCTGTATCATACATATACCATCTACAACCTACCTTGACTAAACGTAACAGGACAGCGCAGTGTGCCTAGTGAAGAACGCAAGCTGTGCGCTTTGTCCTTGATCACTTTAAAAGAGAGAGGTTCTGCTCCCTTCCTTCTCAAGGACTAGCATGAAGTCAGGATACTTGGTGTAATTTCTAGGACCACACCAGGCACAGCACTGTCATTCCAGAAACTCAGTTGTAATTTTTTTTATTGAGGCTTTTCCACTAATATATCAGCAGTTTGGTTTTTGTTCTGTCACCACTATGAACACAACAGAGTTTTAAGCAAAAGCAATGCATCAACTGTGCAGTATGAGTCACGCTGAAGACAAAGAGGAATTTTTGTTGATTAACAAAGGCACCTGAAACAAAGACACATGCCTCTATAAATCCTAAAACTTGATACTACGTTAATTTTGTAGACTGAGATAATAAAGGTGACTTCTACTGACCAGCTTAATTTAATGTGTAGTATTTTAAAAATCCATTTTCAGTACAAATTCTTTCAAAGTCACAGTAAAATTCTTGGGAGAATATGTACATTTCTTAAAACTGGAAAACTAAGGAAGTGCTCCTTTAACTGTGAATTTATTTTGAAAGCAACTTAATTCTTAGCACTGGAAAAACAGTTTATAGCACTAGCCAAAGTTTCTGTGCCAAGTTTTAGAAGAAAAACTTGGCAGCCTTTCTTTGAAGCATTTACATCTAAATAAGTATCCACACCACAGCAACTTGTAAAAACATGATCACAAAAGGGCCTTCTCAGTTCTAGAAATACTCTAAATCTTTGAAAGAAATCTAAATCCTCGCTAAAAACAGCATTCAGAAACAGTAAAATTACTGAGTCTGTTGCATTTTAGAAGTGTAAAGTCTGATGCACTGAAATACTGACAAAACATTTAATATAGTTACTTTTTAAAAAACTGAAGCTTCATAGTGCATACTACTTGAGAAATCATTCAAACGAGTACTGTAAAAAGCAGTATTATTAATTGTCAAAAATGAAACTGAAGAATAATGAATTCCATTTATACCATGTATCTGTAAGCAGAGAGAAACAATACAAATGCAGTGAAAGAGTCCTACTCAAGATCATTCAATATGATTGTAGGACCATATGTTGGGAAACTACAGGCAAGAGACTGCAATGCAGCAGACTTTTAACAAGTAGGTAGGCAGATTACTGTGTCTGAAATTCAAAAACACCAAAAGCTGACTGAAAGCAGCCACTACACAACTTTGCATACACAAAATAAAACAGCGACAGCCAGCAGTCTAGACTTACAGGCCTGGTCCTACTGCCCTTACTCACCCTGGCAGCTCATTGCTTATTTGAAAAGGATTGGGTTCAACCCTACAGGAGACAACAAAGCTGTATTCAAGCTCTGGCCTCTGTGGCTCAACTTGTGAAATTACTGTAAAGATCATAAAAGCAGTGAAATGACCCAGATATTTAGAAACCAATTACATTCCATCTGCAATAGATATGCTGACTCTATAAAAATAATTTTTCATTCCCTGGAGGCAGGGCAACAAGAATCTTAAGCAAATGAAATTTGGTATAGAAGAAAGTCTTAAGAGAAACACAAGAATGAAAAATTAAAGTTACAATTAGGCAAGAAATAATTGAATTAGTCCTTGCCTTTCCACACAGCCTTGAAAAAAAAGAGAGAATAAACAAACCTTTTTTCCCACCCCTCTTTCTAGAAGAGCACAATCCTAGAATGGCTGGAAACACTTAATTGCTTATTCAAACAACTGTAGTAATACAAAATCTAATACAATTAGATTTTCAAGGAAATTAACTCAGAAATTTACACTTTAACAAAAGTGAAAAAGCTTTAAGGGTAAAAATAATTAAATTCTTGTGTACACAGAAATGAATAAGAATGGTGAGTAATAATGCCATAAACAACTCCTCAATGTTTTGCCCTTTTGTGAAAGCCTTATTAGAACTAATGTATGTCACAACTGCATTTTAAGAGAAATATCACACATCAGTGCTTTAACTAACAAACAAATAACTAAAAAGATAACATGTGAAATAGTTTTGCACAAAATCAAAGTTTTTATCAATACTTTCACAAATGCTTTCTTTAAAATACTTTGAAATCACTACAACGTAACTGCCCAAAGAAGGTGGTTTTACATGCAGCTGAGATTAGTGCGTTGCATGCTGTATCACAAGAGATACAGCACACTTTTTCATCTAGCAGCAGACCAAAAAATACTAAATATATCATTAACAACAGTCTTGTGGATCTTGTTTGGTTTTGGTTTGTATTGTTTGGTGGGTTTTTTTTTTTTTACCTTTATTGAAGAAGCTGCGTAGAGCATATCCTCAAGACTGAAATGGCAACACTGGTTAAGGTATTCCTGACAAAATTCTCGAATCAACTGTAGATTATACAGGCTGTCAGCCAAAGACATTGTCTCTTTCAAACAAATATCTAAAAAAGAATAGAAGCAAAGATTAGATATAGTTACAGATCTGTAAATAAAAGTTTTTTGCTTTGCTAGGTTCTGGAGCATTTTCTGCATAAATTCAGACTTGATTTCTTTTTTTTCTCCAGGAGACCTTTATTTTTCTATTTCAGAAATTATTATAGTGACAGCTCTTCATTTTATCTTTGCAGTTTTATATCTTTAGACATTTTTCTAAACTTGAATTATGTTTTTTCACTATTAACAAGTTTATTTTTTTCTGCTTTGCCTTTTGTGAAAATGGAAGTTACGCTCATAACTCCTGCTATTTCCATATAATGAAAGCCCAAATTTAATTACCAATATAAATTTTTTCAATGAGATTTCTATACAGCAATGGCAGTAGGAAATGTATGCTTCTTCATACATTCTAGGTCTTTGTCTTTGTATAGGGACTTGAGCATTTTAATGCTGTTAACCTTGAATCTTTTCAATAAACAGCATCAGTTTAGTCTTAGGTATTTGGTTTTTGTGGATTTAGATGTTTAATAGAAGATATTACAAGGATCTGAAGCCCCTGATATATGAATTATCACTCTGAAAGTGTTCTTTAAAGACAAAGAAGTGGTAGCAGTGAATAGACTAGTGTAGTTAGACAGTATTCTCTAAATACTATTTATGCTCAGCTAACCTCTTGTTCTCTTCTTTTTATGCCTGCCTCTTGGAAAATTAAATAGCAATAAAAACTTCCTTGTAAAAGGGACTGAAGAAAAGAAAATTAAATATACTTCCAGAGCATGCATCACATTTTATTCCTAAAGCAACAACGTATGACAGAGTGCCAAATAACAGCTTTAAGTTGTTTAGGACAAAAGGTTTATTCAGACAAGGAATCTACTTTGATGCTAGGTGCATAAGGATTCCCATCCTGAGAGAATCAGACACTTTCCATCATTCTAACTCCATGGATGATGATCAATAGAAAAAAGGTTTGACTAAACCGACTGAAATGGCATTCAATGTAGTAATGCAAAATGTGAAGTCACGCATTTGGATCTAATAAAATTCTGATGTGATTCACTGGTTGAAAGTCTGAATTCAGTGTACAGTTACAACCATCCATATTCAATGGATGTTCATCAAGAAAGATGAACCAAAACTGGACTAGCTGCAGAGAAGGACTATTGAGGATAAGAATGAGAATGGAAAACTACTTCAGAAGTGGAGACTGAAAAGGCTTGGTTCAGTAGCCTGGGCAAGACAAGAGAAAGAAAATATATCAAAAAGGTAAACATTCGATTAGGATAAGCTGTTCAAGACAAAGGGCACTGCTGGATGAACAACAAAGATGTGTAGACAGGCTATAAAACACAGTCAGGTAGAAAGCAAGAATAAGATTTAAAATCACGTGAAAAATGGAGCACTGCAACAGTGGGTAAGAAGAGTACAGATTCTAGTGTGCTAGACAGTTTTAAGATAGAACATGGTAAAATTCATGAAAGGAATTATATAATTTTGTACAATAGCCAATTTCTTGACTCACTAACATAGGGAGTCCTTTCTAGTCCTGTATTCCTTGAAGGAAACCTAGATTTGAAAGTTAAATAAAGTCTTAATGAGATGAAAAGACCGATTTCAGACTACAGAGAACTCTAGATTATTTTTTTTTCCTTTTTTGTTAATGCATTTTTAAGCATTTTGCATATGTATTTTTGTTACCTTCCTTTCTCAGTTCCAATGCAGAATTAAATCTCAGTGAAATTTAACACGCATCAAAAATGGCATTTAAATACAGGGAAGATGGCCAAAGTCTTTTTAAAAGCTTCTATTCACTTCAGACTACCTTTGAATTTACTTCTGAGATAACAACATGTACATTTCTATATATCTTTAGGGAAGATGATGTCAGGACACCTAACAAGAACATTCAAACTAAAGTTTCAAAGATGACATGTGCCTTGTCTTGCTTAAAGTCAGATGCTGGAGGAATCTGCTGGCAAGTATGTATATGGTCACACAAGGTACAGAAGATCTTTCGGACTGTCCACATTTTCAGCCATGCTAAAACAGTATGAAGGAACTAGGTGTTACCCCAATTCAAAACGACCCAAGTTTTAACTCTTCTCCAGTCAGATATCATAGTGTATATTTGGCTGCAACATTTATGTAATCTGAAAGTTGTATTTTTCTAAATTCACAAGCTGAAGAATAGTGAACACATGCATTTTAGTGTCTTTCATCTTCAGTGCCTACTGTGTTGGAAGCAACCTATAAAGTGGTTGTGTACATGAATTCCAAATTTCAGTCCTTAGCAAGCTTTATAGCCTTGTTCCTATTCCTGGACTTCTCGGGATGCTTCTGTTTAAGTGTTCCCACGACATCAAAGGTATCATGGACAGAACACAGGCAGAAAATGATGGGTGTTAGCTGCCAAGGCATTTTACAACAACATGAGGCTTTTAGTTGCCAAGAGGAAGATACTTTAACCAGGCCACTGAGCAAAAGAACAAGACGAAGCTGCTCATCATCACAGACAATTGCTATTATAGAACAGCATGACACCAAGACATTCTAGACTCTGTATTTCTGCTTACTCTGTAAGTGGTACAGGTAACTATCAGGTGAACCAAAAGTCCAGAACAAGGAGCAACTATTTGCGAAGCTATGCAGCTATGCAGAGCTTGACTAACTCTAACCTCTTCCATGTTTTATATCTATAATTGCTCAGATTCATAAAAAAGCACTTACACAGCTTCAAGAATAAGAGTTTTTCAGGTAGTTTCAAGTTTTACAGCACAAAAGCAAATGCCTTCCCACAATCAGATTTATAATAATATATCTTAATATGTTTATATCAGCATGATGACACAAAAGCAAGCACAACATGGAAGGACACCTTGGTTCCTTATATTTAAATATAAAAATAAATAGGCACAAAGTTAAACTAAACCGGCTACACTAAAGTTTTGTCTCTTGTATACCATATTTCAGCACCTTCCTTCACATAGTTATCAAACACAGACATTTAAACTTTTATGGACATATATTTACAAGCTGAGTGACATGTTAGACGTACCCTCCAGTTTAACAATATCTGGGCAGTAGAAGTGGATCAGGGCTGCTAGAGCACAACCATCTGTACCATCTTTCAGCAGATTCTCCACCAGTGGAATGCAGGGCAGCTGCTTAAGCAATGTTTGCTCCTTCCTGTAACGAGCCTACAACACAGAATGCAGAAATTTAGAGACAAGGCTCTGAAACACATGAAGAAACAGATTCATACAGCAGATTTTACACTCTGTTAATGAAATGGCAATATTCATTAAATAGCTGAATATTCCCAGTGTTAAATTTCTTAAAACTTCATGTTACGCCCCATTTTGAATAGCATATCTAGGTGGAAGTGCTAATACTGAACCTTTCCTTGAAAACTTCCAAATTTTGATGATCTCTGTATAGCACACTGAATTAAATAACTTCATATACCTTAATTAACAACCAACACTCATTGTTAAACAAACAGAAATTATCCATGTGTAAACGAGACAAATCCTCAGCTGGTGTAACTTCAGTTTATAGGCAAGTCAAATGGCTTTATAAAGTTAACACATCTAAGAGTCTTGCCAAATTTGGAAAAAAGGAAATCTGCATTTGATCTACTCCATTTTTACTACTAGCATGTGTTGCTATAAGCAGTCATAAACATAAGAGAAGCATTAATGGTCAAGTGTTATGACCATGCAGTAGCCCAGTTAGGAAATATTTTGATAAACCACTTGGTGTTTAAAGATATCATTAGTTCAGAATACCAACACAGCATTTTTCTGCACTGAATGTATTTTTCAGGGTTCCCCTTTTTTTTTTTCCCTCTTTTTTTTTTGGGGG